ACCATGTGCAGACTTTGTATGATTATTCCTGGAACAGCAAAGAATAGTGCTCATTTACATAGCATCAGCATTGTAGTACAGCATTTGCTTATGTTGTGAGAACCTGAACGCGGGGCCTCTGTGTGCTAAGCTGTGGTGGTACCACTGAGCTATATTCCCAGCCTTTATATTTGGTATTATAAACTATTTAGAGATGATTGAGAGAACCCAAGAGGATGTATGTAGGTTATATGCAAAGGTTTTGACACTTGAACATTTGTGGAGTTTGGTGTCCATGGGGGTCCTGTAAGCAGTCCTTTACAGACACTAAGCCAGCATTTGTTTTCACTAAGCTCTAACTTAAGAGCTATCCTTTCAGTTATAAATATAAGCCAAAAATTTTAGTATTAGCGATACCTGTGATACTGTCATTAGTGAGAGTCTTTAGACATTTAGTTATTCCAGCTCTCCCAAAATATCATTTAGACTAAATTTAAATTTACAGTAGTGCAATAGCTGTGTTGTAGCCAGAAGACTTGTCACATCTCCCCTGGGACTACTGACAAGGTATGCTGATTGGAGGAGTGGTGCCACTCCTTTAAATGATATGGCCACAGATGAGCTGTCCTTGCTGTATTCACAAACTTCCCATCCATGCTTGGGCAAGGAAATCCAATTAAACTCAGTGGACCAAACAGAAAAAGAAGCAATAGAGACAAGGCGAGGGACTTTTTGAGAAGAAGAGTGCCAATGGAAGAGGGAAGGGATGAGAAATGTATGGATCTGTCAAAAAATTAAAATATTTAAAATTGTCTCCTTGTATTTATTTTATGCCTTCAAAAGTATTCTGAGAAGTGTTCCATTGGCTTTGCTAGATTAGCAAGAATGGTATCTGACATAAAAGGGTCAAGAAATGTCCTCTTTTCTCTCTATGTGTACTGTGTTCAGGCTGCCTGTGCCTCCACCGCTGTACCATTCATGAAGCCTTGTGCATGCTGGATAACGGCTCTACCACTGAACTGCATCCTTACCCCTATATCCTTCTCTTTTATAGCCTCTTATTTGATGGCTATTTATGTAGCCAGCATTTTCTTGTGCCTACTTATAATTACAGAGATGGAATTCTAGAGTGCTCACCATTACACCATAGAACCACACAAGATGTAATTCTAAATTACAAATAAATATTGAGATGAGAATAAACCAATGTATAAGAAACGCCACTATCCCTTGCTCATATATTCCCTCCTCTTCTCTTCAACTGGATTTCCAGAGTTTGGCCTAGTGTTTGGCTGTGGATCTCGGCATCTGCTTCCATCAGTTACTGGAAGAAGGCTCTAGGATGACAATTAGGGGAGTCACCAATCTGATTTCAGGGCAGGCCAGTTCAGGCACCCTCTCCACTATTGCTAGGAGTCTTAGCCTGAGTCATTCTTGTGGATTCCTGAAAATTTCCCTAGCACCTGGTTTCTCCCTAATCCCATAATGGCTCCCTCTATCAAGATCTCTCTTGCACTGCTCTCCTACTCCATCCCTCCCTCAGCAGGCCCATCCAGTTTTCTCACGTTCCCATCCCCCCCTTTTACCATCCCCCCCCACCCCAGTTTACCCAGGAGATCTCCTCTAATTCCCCTTTCCCAGGGCGATCCTTTTGTCCCTCTTAGTGTCTTCTTTGTTACCTCATTGGTCCTGCCTCAACTCAACTGCCAGGGTTTGTTGACTCCCCATGGGAGGCCTTACCCTTTCTGAGGAGTGAACGGGAGGAGGGATGGGGAGAGGTGATGGGGCATGGGAGGAGGGGCGGGAGGGAGAACTGTGGCTGGAATGTAAAATGAAGCATATATTATAAAGGCCACTATCCCCATTCCACTCTCTCTGTCTATTCTTAGTCACTGTTTTTTTTGTTGTTGTTGTTTGCTTGGCATGTTTTAGTGTGTGTGTGTGTGTGTGTGTGTGTGTGTGTGTGTGTGTGTTAGGTGTACTTACATGCTTGAGTATGTACATGAGTAGAGGACAGAGGTAAATGTGAGGTGACTTCCTCTATCGCCATTGTATTTTATTTGTATGAAAAGGGCTCTCCTGCTGAAACTGGAACTTATTGATTGACTAGGCTGATGAGCCACCGAGCTCTAGGAATCTGCCTTCCCCCACCCCTTGTAGTGCTGGGACTGGAGACATGCACCACTGATACCAGCTTTTATGTGGGTGCTGAGGATTGAACTCAGGTCCTCATAATTGCACAAGAATTCTACTCGCTGATCCATTTCCTCATCCCCATTGGATGGTTTGCTGTTACTTTTCATCCAGCACAAGATGACTTGAGGCCGTATTTAGCATGGGAATCCCTTTCCCCACAAATTCTAGCCCACTGGACCTTTTTCTCTATATTGTGTGAGGACTCATTACTATAGGAAGCTTAGGGTAACACCAGTAAGGTGGCTAACCTCGCCTTACTCTCACAAGACGCTTGATTTACTTGTTCCTACCTTCAGGGCCTTTCCTGTTTCATTGTCAGTCCTGAAATAGATTTCCTCCCCGAATCTCTGGTGAGATTTATTTACAAAGGTATTCCTTGGGTCTTGTATTTATCAGAATTCTTTAGCTGGCAAAATGGTGTCTGCTTCCAAATTGGTGCTCCCGACTTTTGTGCTTGGAAAACGCCCAAACTTACAAAGACTTAATAAGGTTTAATATCATACCTATTCCATGGGGATTCACATCTTTGGCAATTCCATATTTTGGCTTCCCCTCAATAATGTAATTTTTTTAAATAATTTAAACAAAGGAGAAAACACCCATAACTTCCGCATTTAGAAGCAAAGCACCAGGACATTATTCCACTTATCTATGTATACACATCTTATGAAGCTGAACTTGTATAGTATAGGAAATATTGCTTATAATTTTATTACGTGTGTGTGTGTAACATGGGAGCACGTAGAGGTCAGAGGACAACCTGCAGAGTTGGTTCTCTTCCTCCATGTGTGTCTGAAGGCTTCAGTTGAGATCATCAGGCTTGGTAGCAAGCAACATCTTTAATAGCCTAAAAGCATGACATTTTATGAAGTCTGGACACAGACCTGTATTCAGACTTCCACTTACTAGCATTATGTATATGCATCTGTGATATAATATATAAGAGTATGTTAATTTTTTTTTCATTTAAAATTTTTTGGGTTAAAATATTCTTACATCATTCCACCCCTCCCTCTTCCCTCCCGCCTGATGGTTTGGTCAGTGCCTGGCTCCCTCTCTTTGAGGTAGCAAGTTTGTACTGTCCACACTCACCTCTGCTGATGCCCCCGTCCTCTCCTGTGTCTGGAGAGAACAGTGAGACACAAGTACAGGAACTATTAGCAGAACAAGGCAGTATATAGAACAACACACTTCCTGTTACAATGATCCCTAGTCATTGCTTTGATGTCTGTCTGCCCTTGTGCAAATGAGGGAAATTAAGGCCCAAGAAAAAGATAAGAACTATTCATGTTGGTAAATTGAGACCATTGTGCTGCTAGCCTTGGAAACCAGTTCTAAATTTGTTTTTAGTTTGCCACAATTTCATGTACACACACACACACACACACACACACACACACACACTCTTCATGTTGTCCTTTCTTATCCTCTTTACCTTCAATAGTTTATTTTTGTGCTCTACTGCATTTAATTAGGGTTTCTTGCATGAGCACATGTTGGAGGTTATTTACTTGAGCAAGTACAACTTGCCAGTGGCTGCACCAGAATGACTCCTCCCCCTGCAACAACTAATCGCCTAGAGCTCCTTAGGGAGGGGTGGAGTCGCGTTAGCTTCTGCCCTATCCATGTTGATGTGCCCAGTATTGTGCAGGTCTTGTGGAATGTATTCAGTATTGCTGTGAGTTCATAGTTGCAGCTACCATGGCTATCTAAAAGACGTTTATAACACTCGTCTCCAGCCTCCAGCACTTCCGTTCTTTCTACACCATCTTCTGTGGTGTTCTCTTGGCTTTAATTTGGAGTGGGTAAATGCAGGGCTATGCACTTAAAAACCACTTAGTCTCAGCACTTTGACCAGCTCTGAGTCTGTGTTAACTGAAAGCCATTGCAAAAAGCAACTTCTTTTAGGTTCAGAGTAAAGCTAGTCTATAGATACAAGCACATATTTAGAGGCCACTGTGACTACATGTTTATTAAGCAAATCAGTAGTAGTAGGTTCTTCACTAAGGTGTATGACCTCCCCAGTCATGGGCTTTTGAGTAGGTTTACAGTATTGAGCATGACTTTCCTTTTGTGGGTGGGTCTCAGATTCAACCAGAAAGTGGTTGGTTACTTCCATAACAGTCATGCCTCTGTTGTAGTGGTTCTCAACCTTCTTAATGCTGCAACTGTTCCTCATGTTGTGGTGACCCCCAAATATAAAATTGTTTTCATTGCTACCTCATTACTGTAATTTTACTCCTATTATGTATTGTAACATAAATATTAGTGTTTCCTGATGGTCTTTGACACCTGCAAAAGTGTTGTTGAACCCACCAAAGGAGTCGTGACCCATATAGGTTGAGAACCACCACATCAGTGGCACCTTTTGCTTGCAAGGTTGCTATTGTAGCTTGGAAAGTCCATAGCAGAGAACCCAGTATTGTTTTTTAAATTTTACCTTGTTTCTTCAACTATCTCCTAGTACCATAGATAAGCCAGGCTGTAGACCAGACCTAGGGAAGAGAATGCTGTGACCTGGAATTGGCTGGTGTAGGTAGGGAACACTTTCTGAAAGAAATATAAACAATATTTTCTTCCTCTTTATAGCATACTGATCTACATTCGTGTTTGCCTCTTGGTGAAGCAGTGTCTCTGGCTGTGTTTTTATCTTCAGTAATGTGGTTGAGAATATGGTTAGGTTATGCCTTATGTCAATATTTTACCTTTCTCCACACCAGTTTCTTATTTACTCAGCTTCTTGGCATTTGGATTTTTTTCCTTCAAAGTTGAACAAAGACATTTAAAGCCAAAGAACTAATTTGCTTTCTTTAATACCATCCTAGATCAGTGTGCGTGTGACCACCATGGATGCAGAGCTGGAGTTCGCCATTCAGCCGAACACCACTGGCAAGCAGCTGTTTGACCAGGTAAGGGAGGCCTTGTTCCTTACCCACTTCTTGTGCCGGTAGGGTCTCATCACATTGCAGACTACCCATTCCTTCTGTGTTTTGGAAAAGGTCTCCTTTTCTACTTGCCCTTTCAAGGAAGGTGAAAACAAAGGCTGGCTCCAGATTTGATTAAAAAGGAGGCTAAGTTTAATTTTGGCAACCTGAAATCTCAATCTCACTGCCCTAATAATCCTATCCTTGATCCCGAACAAAGGAGACAAGAGACAAGGACTGTGATTCTATGCTAGATTTGTTGAAAAGATGAATATATTTTTCTTTCAACTTTGAAAGATGTGCTTAGTTATCTATTTATTTATCTATTTCTTTCTATCTATCTGTCTGTCTGTCTGTCTGTCTATAGACAAGTCTCTTTGAAAAAGCCCAGGGTGTCCTTGAAGTTACTACCTGGCCTAAGCTGACTTCTAACTCAATCCTTATTCCCCGGCTTCCCAAGTGCGAGGATTATAGATAGGTGTGTCTCTCCGTGCCTGCACGTTCCCCTCTTGCTTCCATATGCAGACTGTGGCATGTGTGCCCATGTACATACACAAATATGAAAGAAAGGGGGAAACTCATGTTTATATGCCTTTTGTTTTTATAAAAATGTAATATTATTTACATCTTTACCATTATCCAAAAAAAACCCTGATGACTGAGACATATAAGGTTGCACAAAATGCCAGATCAGAAATAGACAAGACAATGAGAAAGCCCACATATCTTGGAGGAAAGCATTATGTACAAACACGTGGCAGAGTAGTAAATGGTGGGTCCCCTTCTAATACCACGATACTTTTTGTCTCATTGATGAACTGGAATTGGGAGAGGGGCTTGATGATCTAATTTTGGATTTAGTTGGAACTTACTCTTTCCCTGCAGTTTGTTTTGTGTTTTTGTTTTGAACGGTGTAGGGTAATCACTGATGGTTAATTTGTGAAAATACAAGTTAGTCTGAGGAACTTTGAAGCACATAAGTAATGTTTTGACATTCCCATAGCTCACAAGTAATTACAGTACTAGTCTGCAATGACTAAATGCATTTTGATTATATTAAGGTTTTCATGTGGGTTCTATATTGGAAAGCTTTTAAAGGGACAGACTAATGAATTGGCAAGAACACTAGCTTCAAAGTCAGAAATTCTGATCTCGAGAGCTGGCTTTGCCACTAATTTCTTGCTTCCTGTAAACATTTCTTTTCTTCAGGTCTCAGTAAAAAATATCTGTACTCAAATTTGGTTTCCTCAAATTTGGTTGTCTCTCAAAAATTTATCTCTGCCCCTTTTTTTGACACATCTTCTTCTCTCCCTTCTGTATTTTCATTGTTCAGAGTTCAGACAACCCTTTTCTGTAAAAAGACAGGAAATGCCTCATTTGAGTTGGTAGGAGGAGAAGGCAGTGGGCAGAACATCACTTCCGGATCGGCTTCTAGTAGTCCGTGAGACAGACATGAGGAGACCGCATAGACTCCTGGGCCCTTTGTTTTAGATAGTCAGGTGCTGAGGGGAGAGTATCAGTCGTGCTGGATTTTACTTTGACCTCTTCTTAGACTCCATCCATCGTTCTGATTCTACTTGTCTCCCTAACCAAATGATCCTCCTTCCTGCTCTTTCCACCGGGGTTTGTCCTTTGGCATTGAAGGAGGCTGGCTGATGAAGACATGGCTTAGAGTCTGGGGCAAAAAAATAATCTATGGGTAAAGTTTTATTAATTTCAAAAAGCCTCTGCTTGGTAATTTATTATTAGTATTGATTTGCTTATGCTCTGTGCATGTAGTTCCGTGGGAGGCCACTGTGGCAGTGAGCCCTGGGCAGATTGGAATGGTAATTTTTTGTTGGGCGGTGGGGGGGCTCTTAGTATATAACTCTGGCTGACCTGGTACTTGTTATGTAGTCCAGGCTGCCTGGAACTCAGAGCAATCTCCTGCCTTAGCCTTCTGACTCCTGGAATTACAGACGTATGCAAGCATTCCTGGCTAGCATGCCGTTCTTAAGGTTATTGCCTCCCATGCAGAGCCCTTAAGAGATTTTGATCTTTCATAATCATCGAGAAAAGGAATGAGAGAAAACCTGGATGATTTATCACCCAGACGAGCAGTGTCTTGAGAAGCATATTTATGAGCGCCTACCATAGATTATCCCTGGTAGGTGCCTGAGCTGAATTTCACTCAGGTTAGAGTGACTCTGAAGTTGGGTGTGGTAGCCTGTACTCCCAGAAGACACAGGCAGGAGGATCAGGAGTTCAAGGCCGTTCTCGAGAGTATAATGAGCTTTAAATGAGGCCAGCCTGAGCAACAGGAGATCCTGTCTCAGCAGATAAATGAAAAAGGGACCTTGAGTTCTATTATACACTATTATACAACATGCTGACTATTATTAGTGACAGTGCATTATATTCTTTAAAAAAATGGTGAATTGGGTTGGAAGTGATAAACGTGAGGTTTTGCATATAACTGGGTTCCTTAATCATCACAATGCTCCTGTCCCTAAGAGCACAGCGAACATACCTTAGTATGTTGGACTATGAAGTTTCAAATGCAGTTCTGAACAGTCCTACTTTTCTCCCACTGCACTGCACTGTGTGGAGTGAATGAGGGTGTTAGCACTTGGAGATGTCTCAGAGAAGATGTGTTTTCTATCCGTAGGTCCCCTGAGAGGCTACCAAGGTAAAAAGAACAGAGCCACTGTCTGTGAGGTCAGAAGGATCAGAGCTGCGATATCGTAGGGGAAAGTTGTTGAAATAAAGTATCTGAACTTGACAAGATACTAAGCAGCTATCTGTCTGGAGATAGAGAATGAGAATCCACAGAGGTCTATGTGCACAGGTGGTGGGAGGAAGTGAGCTCTTCCCTTTCTGTAGCTTGCTAAAGCCTAGGGAAGAAATCCATTCTATCTGACTTTGAGACCCATCATTCAAGGGAGCTCTTCTGCCAGAGCTGGGGCTTGAAAGGAATTGAATAACGCTCTAGGGCCATTCTGGAACTCAGCAGGCTTCTGAGCAGAGAGGAAGTAAAATAAAGAGGAAGCATATATCTTGGCACCCGGTGATAAATAAAAGCAGTGGGAAAGCATAGCTTGAGGAGGCCCGGGGCCTGGTGGGAAATGGGAATGGGGCCCACAACTGCTCCCACTTACTTCTGTTTCTTTTTTGTGAGTGTGCTCTCTGCCAGCAAAGAGAAAGAACACGTTTTGCTTCGGGCATGCGGCACTTGCTTGCTTTAATCTCTTAAGGCAGATTCTTCAAATGGCTTCTTCTTGAATTTCGTACCTGCCACTAGGTGGCAGGGCCACCACTATGAATAAGACTGTGTTTGCCTTTTGAGATTATACTATAATTACAACATTTCTCCCTTCCCTTCTCTCCCTTGTACAAACCTTCCCGTATACCCCTGCCCACTCTCCATCAGGTTCGTGGCCTCTCTTTTTCACTAATTGCTATTGCACATATATATGTATATAGAAATCCTACCTGGCATCTCAACCATTCTAATAATTGATCTTTTAAAGAGCCAAACGTATGTGGAATGTCCTGGGAGTTCAGTTGCGGGAACCATAAAATCACAAAGCTTTCTGATTCAGTAAGGTACTTATGACTGGCTGACTTTGCATTAGGACTTTTTTTCTGGGTTTTTTTTTGGGGGGGGGGACGGTTAACATCTATTATGACACTAATAAGAGTAGCAACCCCATTCAACAGATGAGGAATTGAGGCTTAGTGAGGGGGAATGTTCTGCTTAAGGTCATGTAGCTCTAAGGAGTGATGTAGCTCGAGCTTGAACCTGGGTAGACTCTACTGTTTCCCAGTGCCTTCTGTCAACTATGCCCTGTGTGAGCCCCCTTTGTTTAGCCTCTGCCCTCATCAGATGCTCAGCTCAGTGTCACCTGTTCTGTGAAGAAGACGCTCACTGGAGCACAAGCTGTGTGCAGCAGAAGAAGCAGAGGTTGTGGTAGCGTCTTACAGATTTTTCCAGTTAAATATTGATTTGCTTTTAGATGGGTGGCGATGCAGCTGCTGCCAAGCCTGTAATAGAATCTTAGTGCCCCTCAGATGTCTGGGCTTTGATGCAGTTTTGCACATAATTTTTCATGCTGTATTTTTCTTACGGCTCTGGACTTGCTTCTGATGCAGCTCTGGGCTTCTGAGATGGCTCATGATGCCGCTGGTTTCTTACACAGATACACGAGGAAGGTGGCACTGTCTCTTGAATTGATTTCTGGCAAGTAAAAAGAGAGATGAAAAGGATTCTGTCTTATACCCCGAAACGCCTAGAAATTAGTAACGATTTTCTTACAGGCAAATCTCTTCCTTTTATTGGACTTCAGTGTTCTTTCCTGGTAGTTTTTTTTTTATTACCATCTATAAATTGCACATAATAATTGCTTTTCTTTTTTGTTGATATTTTTTGAGACAGGGTTTCTCTGTGTAGTAGTAGCCCTAGCTGTCCTGGAACTTGCTCTATAAACCAGGCTAGCTTCAAACTCAGAGATTTACCTATGGCCCCCTTGAGTGCAAGGTTTAAAAGTGTGAACCACTATGCCCAGCACAATAACTATTCTTAATGTGTTTTGATATATTCACCCCTCCCTTATTCCCACTAGTCCTGCTACCGGTCTCTTTCCTCCTCCCAGCTAGTCCCTCTTCTACTTTCCTGTCTGTCCCCGCCCCCAACTAGTAAGTTTCCTTAGGGCCGTTTACAGAAGCATGGGTACCAACCAAACTGCCTGTAGATCTTCAGGAATGGGTGTGGCATCCCAAAGCCCTTTCTGTGACAGGATCCTAGCTCAGATCTTCCGGAAGTCTCATGTGGGTAGTCACAGCTGCTGTGCCTTCATGACTGCCCTGACCAAAGCTAAGAGCAGTTGCTGTTATGTGTGGGGATATGTACTTCATTTGACAGCAATTTGAGAGGCACGTCACTGGACTTCATTTTCCCAGCCTACGCTGTGTTAGCCCTGCTTCCTCTCCACAGTCTATCTGGGGGAAGAGTGCAGAGTACAGAACAGAATTCACAGTCTCTATCTAGGCTTTTTTTTCCTTATTCTCCCAAAATGTGTTTATCGGGATAGCTTTCCACTCCTCTTGATACATGATGCTTTTAGTGCACCTCTCAATTCCACCATACCCCTTGGCCTCTTTGGTTACGATGGTCAACTGCTTAAGGGTTTTGTTTTGTTTTGTTTTTGGGTTTTTGAGACTGGGTTTCTCTGTATATCTTTGGAGCCTATCCTGGATCTCTCCCTGTAGACCAGGCTGGCCTCGAATTCACAGATATCCACCTGCCTGTGCCTCCCAACTGCTAGAATTAAAGGTGTGTGCCACCTCCTAGCGTTTAAGGGTTTCTTAAGGGCAATTTTGAGAAATAGTAGCATAGGTCATATGAGCAGGGTGTCTCCTACCAAAGGGAGCAAATTTTTTTTCCTCAAGGAAACGAGCCATTTCTCAGCATTATAAGGACTCTACTCACTGGATCCAGAGAGGTTTGTTCCTAGAACAAAGAGCTAGATACTTTTCTCTAACTTGAAAAGCAGGACCTTTCCTACCCTAAGCCCTGGCCCACTTTAACTAGAGGTCTTGGCTACTGTAGGAAATGGAAATGAGTAATTCTAGCCTCAATTTCCTTGTTCTTGGAATTGGAAATTTGGTCAGGAGTTGCCTGACCAAATGGCCTCCATCACTCCCTGGACCTTAATTGGAGATTTCCTTGTAGCCTGTAGTCACAAGTCATTTCTTTTGTCTTTGTTTTTTTCAGTATCAATTCTGACTTCAGACTGTATTTCCTTCCTCCCATATCCTCACGTTGGAGCTTTAGCATAGGTTGAGAGACTGCTCATCTCTCCAAGCTCAAGAGCTTAAGGAAGTGGAAAATTCATATCATTTTGATTTCCCTATGCTCACAAAAGAAGAGGCAGTGTTCATATCAAAATCCCCTTCAGTCCTAGGTTTTCTGAGCTGCCACAACTGGCCTCTTGGTTTAGGTTAAGGCCAGCTGTTTCTTTACCTCTTTCCTTACCCTTATGTCCCACTCCCCCAGTATCTAGGCATGTTAGCCCTGTGGTCTATACTGTCTTCAGTGGGTCTTTTTTCTCTCCAGGATCTGAATGTTTATGGAACTTCTCTTCTTCCCACCAGTTGCATTTCAGTTGTAACTCTGAAACTACAGGGAAAAGTCAGACCCAATTGGTTGGGTCCTGTATTAAATGTAGGATGAGAAAGAGGTTTTAAAAAAAATCTTCCCATACCCATTCTTAGGTGTGAGATCATTTAACAATTATCCTCCCAATTAGATAATGAGGAAGTTGGGACCAGCAAACGAAATATACGGGCTGCACATTAAAGACAGAAGATTTTTGTTCGTATTTCCTGATATGTGACATCAAAGTATAAAGAAAAAGTGTGACATATTAGGAACATGATTTCTCCTCAGAGTGATTATTGTATGAGATGGGAGAAGGTGTTGATTTGCTTATTAGAAAGAACATTGGTGACTCTGGGTCCTTGTTTTTAATCTCTAATTAAGTCTCATAGATTTTCTGCTCACTGCATCCAAAAGATTTATTTCCATCCATTTATATCCAGACTAAAAGATGAGAACTGTCTGATGTGGCTCTCTCTAGTGCTGAGCGTGCTGGTGTGGAGACTGCACCTAGACCATCAACATGGCATGCTAGAGTCAGGGCCCAAGAACAGACTCCATCTGTCTTGTCCTTGCAGGCCTCCATTTCTTGCCCTCTGTTCAGTCTGAATGGCACTGGGCAAAACAGGGCCCTTCAGCTTCTTCACAGACTGAAGTTTGGCCCCAAATATTTCATTACCCAGGAAGAGCATAGCTTTGGGGTATGGGGTGCTTGTACACTGTGCTCCCCAATTTGTCTTCTCAAGTCTTCTTTCTTGGGATATTGCAAGTGAGACTTTGTCTTAGATATCGGCATGACTCCTACTTTCTAAATAGAAAGGGCAGCTATGAAATTTGAATTGATGACATTAATGACTGTCAATTCAGCCAATTATGATGATGTAATTTTTTAACAAAACTGAGAAAAGCCTGAGTTGGGGAGCTTCTAGGTAGCTGGACAGGTAGAAGTTGCTGAAGGGACATAGGAACCCTGCTCTCGTCCAGTTGCATCTCTGCACCTTTTCTGTCTGTTCATCTGAGTCTTTTTAAGTGTACCTCCTTTGGTAATTTAAGAGACATTTAATATGTAGCCCTGCCTGGCCTGGAACTTGCCATGTAGACAAAGCTATGCTTGAATTCACAGAAACCAGGGACCAGTCTGCCTCTGCCTCCCGAGTGCTGGGATTAAGCACAGCCCACACCCCTACTTTTGGCACAGGATCTCATGTAGCCCCAACTGGGCTAAGACTCTGTGTAACCAAGGATGCCAACACTGAACTTCTGATCCTTCTGCCTCCACTTTCTCTTGAGGACTGGGATTACAGGCATGCATTACAATTCCCAATGTAATATCCTTTAGAATAAATAGAAAATCAGAAATAGCAAGGAACACATGAGAGTCCCCCAGAAGGATATGGTACAGGACTTAACCCAAGAATCTTTGTCTACAGTCTCTAATCCATTCTGGGAGCAGACCGCTGTATAGCATTGTAGGAGCAGGCAGTGGTAGAGAATTGGCTTGATTTAGAAATATGACAATTTAAATCTTGCCTTTGTCACTTCTTATCTGCACCTTGGGCATATCACTTTATTTCTGGGCTTTTAATATTACTATCTGTAAAATGCACATCACCTACTTCTGTCATAGGGCTCTTTTGAGAATTGAAGGTGATAATGCATGTAAGGTTACTGATGTGGACCGGTGTTTGCAGTAGTACTTAGTGGGGAAAGAAACTGATAGCAATTCTTTCTTTTTCTTTTTTTATTATGTATTAAGCTTATGTTAATTGTAAAAAATAAGGGATTTGTGACATTTTCATACACGTGTATTATATTTTAATTACAATGACCCTCCTCTCATCCATTGGCCCTTGTCCCTTTCCAAAATAGTTTCCTTTCTACTTCCATGTTTTTTTTAAAAAAACTACACTCCTTATGTGACATTAATTCCTTTTAAAATACATTTTTTAATTATTTAACAAGTGCATACATGTATGCAATGCATTTTGATCATATTTACCTTCCTCCAGCTAAGTTCAGATCCTTTCCCCCCAATTTTATGTACTTATTTTTTTTAACCCATAGAGTTTAGTTAGTCTTGCTAGTACATTCATAGATATAGTGCCATTCACTAGAGTACAGGAAACTTACTAAAGGCACATCTCTGAAGAAAATAGATCCCACGGCTCCAGAAGCCATCAATTGCCAATAGACATTAGTTCTTGACAGCTGCTCTCCAGACTAGCAGTACCTTGAACCCTTTCAGGGTAAATTAAGTTCCTCCCACTTTTCTGTTCCTCAGTTCCTGGCACAGGATAGCTATTAAACCAGTGACTGTTTTGTTTTTTCCAGGTGGTGAAAACAATTGGCTTGAGGGAAGTTTGGTTCTTTGGTCTTCAGTACCAGGACACAAAAGCTTTCTCGACTTGGCTGAAACTCAATAAGAAGGTAATCACTTACTGATCTGTCAGAAGTTCTTCCAGCTAATAACATATGCTAGTTAGCAAACCCGAGATCCTTACTCAGTAATATATTGAACAAAACAATGAAGGAAACAGTGTTTAGAGTTCTAGTTTAAAAAGTTATCTGGAGGGGAGCAACCGGACTTAGCTGTGCTAAGTCAGAGATGTCCATGTCTATGTAGGATTGTGTCGTCTGTAGACAGAAGGTGTTTTCTCAGGTCTACATGGCTGGTTCTGCAGCTTCCAGAACTCCCACCCTCCTTTTGTGTTTAGAGAAAGGGCTTCTTGTTATAGGCTGATCTCGAACTCCACACATAGCAGACGGTGACCTTGAACATCTGATCTTCTTGCTTCCGTTTTTTAGAGTGTTTGAATTACAGGTAGCCCAACACCATGCTTCCCCTGATTACTTTCAACAAAATAGAGGCAGAGGACTTGACCGAGGGAAGGGATGATTCTTTATTTTAGACTTGTTGCAGACCTAAGCTTTCAGTGGTTTAAGGTATTGAGATCCCTTTCTCAAAGTCTGTAATTTGTAAGAAAGAGCCCAAACACCACCCCATGTAGTATCTGCAGACACCTAGCAGACTTTTCTCCCTATGCCCTGATATTGCCATTGACCTTAGAGGTCTCAATACTGTGCTCCGGCTCGTTTTCCTGATTGTATCTAGAGGTGGGCGTCTCACTTCTGCTCCATAGCTCTTGTTCTGTTTAAGAATGGAGCTTTGTAAAATTACATGTATTTACTATGTCTGTGCCTGTTTATGTGTGCGTGCATGCACGTCATGGGAGACACGTCAATCCTCTCTTCCATTTTGTTGTTCCTTAAGATCTAAATGAGGTCATAGCCTTGGGAACAAGTGTCTTTATCCTCTGAGTCATGCCGGTGGCTGCAACAGTAGCCACTTTTGCTGGACAAATTAGGAATGATTTTTCAGGCTTTGGACGGTCATCTGGTGGCTGTCTAACCTAGCCAATTCTGCAGCTTCGCCCAGCTTTGCTCTTCTCCAGTAGTTTATAGCGTAGGAGAATAAGATTCCCCAGTAAAAGTAATGCAGTGCTTCTGTGTTTTAGTTTTAGTTTCGTTTAGTTTTGTTCTAAATTATGAGGAGAGTGGCCTTCCAGTCTTGGGAGATTACCTGAACTTAAGCTCTCTCAGTGCTCCCATCATTCCCATCACAGACTCGCTCCCATCACCAGAGTCTATTGTTCGAGAGCCTCCATAACCTCCGTGTTCCTCCCAGGTGACTGCACAGGATGTGCGGAAGGAAAGTCCTCTGCTCTTCAAGTTCCGGGCCAAGTTCTACCCAGAGGATGTGTCTGAGGAACTGATCCAGGACATCACCCAGCGCCTGTTCTTCCTGCAAGTGAAGGAGGGCATTCTCAATGATGACATCTACTGCCCACCTGAAACTGCTGTGCTCTTGGCCTCCTATGCCGTCCAGTCTAAGTACGGTGACTTCAATAAGGAAGTGCACAAGTCTGGCTACCTGGCTGGAGATAAGCTACTGCCCCAGAGGTGAGTTGGTACCCTGGTCTTCTTCGACCTGGCTAAAGTGGGTCATGGGTAACAACCAAAAACTGGCTAATTCCCACTCCCTATGGGGTGCCAGATAGGTTTCTTTTCACTAGGTTTTGTCTAAAGACTGCTGTGCTACTCAGAGACACATTTGCATATAGTCTTATATCCTATTGTATTTCCGGTCTTCAAAAAGCGTTTTTTCCCTTTGTCTCTCTGATTTCAAAGCTTCATTACCCTGGAGATAGGCGCTTACATAGAACCAAAGATGGGTTGATTTGTTTTGTCCTCCCCTGTTTCCATTTCTTTTGCACTGATGAGATTTATTTTAGAAATTCACAGGAGAGAGAGAGAGAGAGAGAGAGAGAGAGAGAGAGAGAGAGAGAAATAGGCAAGCCACAGGTACCATTCTACAGAGTTTTCTGATTTTGCAAACTGCAAAGGTGAAAGCTCTTAAACACTTAATATTTTTTTGTTTTAACATCATGACAATGCCAAATAAACAAGGCAGGAGGTTTCCTTATTTTCTGCCTCAGGAGAGAGAAATGCAGAGGTACTCACTTTGATTTACCTTATCTCCCACATTTGAGCCAGAACCGACCTGAACCCCCAATGTCTTGATTCATTTTTCAACCTTGAAGGTTTTCTTTCATTTTGCATCAGATGGCTATTTATTTCCATAAGCTTTTGGACTAGAGCAGGAGACGACAAATGAAGCACGCCTGATTCTGGGATCCCTGGTGGAATTGGAGCTGTGGTCTGTGCACACACCCTCAGGAGATCTTAGGGACAGGAATTGTGCCCCTGGAAACTTTTGTAGTCAGGGCCATGATGTCCAAGATGGCATATTTAAAGCAGGCTTTGTTTAATAATCTAGTAGAATTATGAGTCAGGCCTCTTGGTTCCTTCAGAATAGTTTGGGGCTAATTCCCTGTCCAGTATCCAAAGCTGTCTTATAAACACCAACTGTTGACCCTAAGGGGGTGCAGGAGAGAATATCACTGCCTGTCTCTACTGTTAGCCACTCAATACGTACTCCTGATGTATTATTGTTGAGTTTGGAGATGCAACACATTGTTAGCTTTTTGGTTGAAGGAAGAAAGAGGACCTGGCCTTTAATGCCAGCATTTGGGAGGCAGGGGAAGGGGGAGCACTCTGAGTTTGAGGCCAGCCTGGTCTACATAATCAGTTTCAGGATAGCCAGAGCTACATAATAGAGAGACCCTGTCTTAAACAAACAAACAAACAAACAAACAAACAGATGAATCCCTATTTCAGGTAGATAGGTAGGTAGATAGATAGATAGATAGATAGATAGATAGATAGATAGATAGATAGTTCGATAGATACGTAGGTAGTGAATGAACTTATGAATGAATAAAGAGAATGATCCCATTGTCCTGTTTGGTCTTCTGTTCTTGGAACTCTTATTTTAGGAAGTCCCTTAGGTCTGCTTCAGTACGTTCAACTCTCATTGTCCATATGAATTCAGCAGTACCTCAGTGGTCTAATTTCACATTTGCATCAACTCTTTAGAGAGCTGAGAGCGCTTCCCTCCCCTCCTGCCTATCGTCTGCAATTTTTTGATCATTCACTATCTTTGCAGAGTCTTGGAGCAGCACAAACTCAACAAAGACCAGTGGGAAGAGCGGATCCAGGTGTGGCATGAGGAACACCGAGGCATGCTCAGGTAAGCCTCGCCTACCAGCTGTGAGCTTCACTGGCCTTGCAAGAAGGATGAGGGTGGGGCCTACAAAGAAGAGGCAAATGATTAGGGACATTGGTGGATTTTTAAGAGAGAGGAATGATTTTGACACTTAAATATAGAAGGCAAAGTTGAATCATTATAAGACTGTAATTTGGTTTTAGGCTTTTTTTTTAATTTGTAAGACCAGAATTTTAATGTAAAGGACTGTAACTTGAGAAGATCATTAATTATCAAATCAGGGCTTCATTTTTTGTTTATTATTTTGCATGTGTGTGTATATATATGCATGTGTGTGATACATGTTGTGTGAATGTGGGTGGATATGTGTGGATATGTGGGTGGATGAAGAACAACCTTCATCTTCAGTAGTTGGTTCTCTCTCCCTCATGGGTTCTAAATATTGAATTCAGATAGTCAGGTTGTATGTCAAGCACATTTACTCACAGAATCATCTCACCAGCCCAGATCAGAGGTTTTTATTACATTTGTCTATATTTTGTGTGATGCACATATGCAAGTTCTCCCTCCCTCGTGTGTGTGCGTGTGCTCGCGTGCACATGCACCTGAGCACCTATGCTTCATGCTGGGGTGCACATATGGAAGTCAGAGGCAACTTTTTGGAGTCTATTCTCTTCTTCTACTCTACCTTGTAAGTCCCAATAACTAAACTCAGGTTGACAGACTTGCTAGTGCCCTGACCAACTGTACCATCTTGCTAATACCAGAAGTTTTTGAGAAATGATCTCACTATGTAGCCTAGGCCAGTCCTGAAGACACAATTGTCCTAGCTCTATCTTCCAAGTGCTGGAATTACAGGCATGTTCTATGACTCCCTACATCCTAAACTGTTTTGACTCCAATGAAAAAGAAGGAACATCAGGATCTCAAAGAAGTTTCTGGACTGCTTAGTGATTCCACCCCTAAAAAGAAATTGGAAAGGAACTCTGTAGATGGAAGTTTCTGTCTAGTCTGGTTCCACTGCCATTGAGTCCCAAATAAACATATAGGTTTATATTAATTATGAGCTGTTTGGCCTATTAGCTCAGGATTATTATTAACTAGTTCCTACAACTTAACCCATAATTCTTATCTACACTTAACTACGTGGCTTGATACCTTTTCTCAGTAAGGCATTCTCATCTTGCTTCCTCTGCGTCTGGGTGGTGACGGACTCCCTCTTCCCAGAATTCTCCTAGTCTGGTTGCCCTGCCTATATTTCCTGCCTGGCTACTGGCTAATCAGTGTTTTGTTAAACTAATACAAGTGACAAATCTTTGCATTGTATAAGCGCATTATCCTTCAGGAGAACTCTCTAAATATTGTAAAAGAATTTGATGGCTGAGGAACAAGTCTCATTTTACTGTCAGCACTCTGTCTCAATTCTGCTAGGAAGGCGCTTCTATACAAAGATGTCACAATGCAAAGGACACCATAACTTCCGTAGGGCTAGTATTCCAGAAGACAGGGGACAACCTCTCCTTGTTCTTTAGGTTCCCATCGGCAGTTGTTGTTGAACAGAAATCATGTGTATTCTTGTTACTCACCATTTGCTCCCAATCCTACGAGCAAGACCATTGTCAGAAACACAGATCAAGCTGACTTTTTTATGTTGCTGGAGCTCTATTTTGTGACAATCCCTCTCTCATTCTGCATCATATAGGGAGGATGCAGTCCTGGAATATCTCAAGATTGCTCAAGATCTGGAGATGTATGGTGTGAACTACTTCAGCATCAAGAACAAGAAAGGCTCAGAGCTATGGCTGGGTGTGGATGCCTTGGGACTCAACATCTATGAGCAGAATGACAGGTATACCTCAGATTTCTCCAAGTTATTTGGATTAGTCTTAAACATAGGTGTCATCCCTCACTGCCGAGCAAGACTGTACCATTTGAATCCCATCTGAGTTATTTTTCTACTTAATGAAGTCCAGCCATATGTTTGTACAGCTTCCTTAATCCTATATTGACTAGAGTTGTACGATTATTATGGTAGTCACTCGCCAGATGTGAGTATTGACCATTTAAAATGTCATTCCAGCTGAGATGTGTAATAACTGTAAACAGCATACTACAATTAGAAGAACCACTCTGAGAAAAAGATATGTGTTCATAATCTTTCTATGCCTATAAAAGAATTCCTGGGAGAAATCAACTTAAAGGAGGAAAGGTAGATTTTGCTTTTAGAGTTTTGAATCTGCAGTTATGTGATGCAGTTATGATGCAGTTATGATGCAGTTATGATGGAATTGTCTTGGACCCGTATTGAGGTAGAATTTTGTTGTGGAGAGCATGTAGTTGCTCACCTCCTGGCAGCTGAAACATAGACAATGAAAGAGGAAGAGCCTGGAATCCCAGTGTTTCCTTCGAGGGCATGCCCCCAGTAGCCTACTTCCTCCATCCAGGCCCTATTCACAAATATCTGCCACCACTAATAACACCATTATCTGGGGACCCACCCTTTAACAAATGATCTTTCGGGAGATATGTAATAGCTAAATTGTGCTGGGTATGGCAGTGCATGCCTGCTATCCTAGCACTCAGGAAGTGCAGGCAGTGAGAATCAGGAGTTCAAGGCCAGTCTTGGCTACATAGTTAATTCAAGGCTCTTAAGACTAAGGTTTAGGATTGCCCTTTTTCTGATGAAACACCATGACCAAAAGCAACTTGCCTGGAGTTTATTTCATTTGCTCTTCCATATTTATCATTAAAAACAGAGAGGGCAGAAACTGAATAAAGACAGGCAGAAACCCAGAGGCAGGAGCTGATGCAAAGGCCATGAAGAAGTGCTGCTTACTAGCAAGCCCCTGGCTGGCTCAGCTTGCTTTCGTATAGAACTAAAGGCCACCAGAGGACACCACCTACAATGGGGTGGGCTCTCAGTCACTTAGTTAAAAAAATGCCCTACCTATCTTCCGGAGGCATTTTTTTCAGTTGAAGTTCCATCTTTTCAGTTGACTGGAGCTGTGTCAAGGTGACCTAAGAGCAACCAGCACAATTGCTGTCCTGGGCTGTGTGAAACCTTGTTTCATCTGCTTCCCCTTGCAAAAATAACTCAAACTACAGCAATGTAAAATGTACCCATATTTTTAAATGTTGATATATGTTTTCAAATGATGGTATTAGCATCTATAGTGTTAGTTAAACCTTTATAATTAGGTTATCATATTTCCTTTTTATCCATTTTCCTATAGCTTCTAGGAAATGTATAAATGTGACCTTTATATAATTATATTATTATATTATATTATATTATATTATATAATTACACGTTTTGGACAGTGCTGACTTAGAATCAGTTCTGTGAGGTTCATAAAGTTCAAGCCTCATGTTATGATTAAGTGACTTTTGGCCTATAAGTCTTGCTATACTGTTGTGTTTCTTATTTATTCCCCTCCCCCTAGTCTGCTCTTGGTAAAGATGAAATCATGAGATTATTGTTATTTATCTTCCCAAAGTTAATGATGAAGTCTAGAAGGTTTTCGTTAAACAGTACTGCAGGTCCTCTGGAAGGTCTCTACAAGGTATTTGCTTCAACCCCAAATGGGACAAAACAAAGGGCAATAAGTACTCACAGTAGCCAAGTTGACAGTAGGTCTCTCTCATCAAGGGAGAAGTTTGTGTTAGCGGATAGAGTGGAATTGGCAGAGGTGAGGCAAGGCGCTAGGTCTGTTTCCTTCTTGCTTTCTCCTTGTCATGGTGTTGTTGACCTCTGTTTCTACAGACTGACTCCTAAGATTGGCTTCCCTTGGAGTGAAATCAGGAATATCTCCTTCAACGATAAGAAATTTGTCATCAAGCCTATTGACAAAAAAGCCCCGGTGAGTGACTCCTCTCCTTGACTCTGCTTGGCAGATTTTTGCCAAGGCTTAGATAATTCTAAGAGCAAACACGTCATTGGGTTCGCCTGTCTCTCCATTTTCTGTTGTGTGTAGCTTGTACACAACAGGACAAGAAGCACAGATGGAAAGTAGAGTGTCAGAGGAAGTTGATGCTGAGAACTGGCCAGGTCGTACCGGATGTTTGGTCCCTCTCTATTGTCAAGCCCCCTTTGTGGGTGAGCTATGCTATGGGCAGTCTTAAGTGCTGCTGCTTTGCAATTATCTCAGCTTCCTAAGTCCCCAAAATGTACTCTTCGTGTACTTGGCTCATGTTTAATTGTGGAGAGAAGGCAGAGCCAGAAGAAGTTCAAATTTAAAGGTGACATTATAAATTTACCTTGTATAACTTTTAATAAAAGGAGATTAAAGCATTTACTTTACACTTATTTCTTTACCCATGAGTTTTTAAGGTGAAGTTTCACTTTAGCCCAGCCTGGCCTTAACTTAAAGTCACCCTCAGGCTTCAGCCCCTGAGTGCTAGAATTGCATCCATGTATCGCCAGATCCTCTAAAATTTGCCTTTTTATTTTTACATTTAATTTGTTAATTTATATATTATGTGACAATAATAATTTTGAAAGAGATCATGAATTTGGGGGAGACACACGAGTAGGGTGGCGTGATGGACATAAAGTGCTAATGTATGTAGTTTTCAATAAAATAGAAAGCCAGGTTAAATCAAAGGCTTTAAAAAACAAATATCAATCAAGGTAGTTGAGATATAAGAAATTTAGATACTTGTGTTCTTACATCTTGCTTTCTTGTAACTAGAACACACTTTTCAGAAATTATAGAAATGGTTTTGACACCCATATATTACCTATTGTCCAGGAGGCTCTTTGAGACTCATTTGAGAATTGTAGCTAGGCATCTAGGTACAGAGACATGACATTGTCTGCTCCCTTAAGAGTTGATCCAGTTGGGCCAGTTAATCACTCGTCCAAGGGAGTACCACTCAGAAAAACCAATCCACCTTAAGCTAAGGTAAAGAAGTAGTAGGAGTAATTATGTCTTTAATGAACTAGTGTACTTTCCCTTCCCCGAGTGCCTACCCCGTGGCTGAGTCTGTTAGTTGTCCTGAGGTCTGTCGGATGTTCTTCTTCTACTGTATTCTGATGCAGAAAGCCAGAGCTCTTCCCTTTTGTTCTCTTCTGGAGGTTTGGTTTCCAGTGCTGACCAGAACCTAAATATGCTTTCTCTGGTGCTTTGGGCTTTTCCACAGTTTGTGTGAAGTTCCCTCTGCCATGTGGCTACTTTCCCACTACCCGGCTGACTTCCATATTGGCTTAACTCAAGGTTATGGCCCTCTTACGCTCCCACCTGTGAATCTATAAGAAACTAATTTCAAAAATTGAAAAAAAAAATACTGTAGTAGAAAAATACACTCCTGATAAAGTATTATAGGGTGCTATTTTTTTTAAAAAAGATTTCCTTTTCTATTTTCCATGTTTATTTTGTGTGGAGGGAGAGGGTTAAAAGGATATGCATTCCATGCTGCGCACACGGAGGTCAGAGAACAACTTGAGAGAATTGGTTTCCTTTCTTTATGTTGTTTTCGGGCATCAAACACTTATTGTCAGGCTTGGTGGCAGGCTCTTTTAGTTTCTGAGCCATCTTGCTGGCCAAGGCTGCTTTTCATTAGCAGAGCTGGAGAAAAATTGTTGTTTTGTGTCAAAAATAACAGACATGGGTTCTAGCCTTGAGTCTACCACTACCCTGGCAACTGACTCTGGGGAAAACCCTTTCCTTATTCTGGTATAGTATTCCCATTGGAATGCAAACGATTGGATTACACAATCTGTCCAGTACTTTTGAGTTTAGCTTTACAGAAGCCGGAAGGTGACTTCCTCCAAACTTTAAAAATTTTGAAATTTGGTATGCTGTTTCTGGTGTGTGTGTGCATGCATTGTGTGCTCAAGGGCTTATGTGAGGCATCTTGTCAGCCCTAAAAAACTCAGCTGCTTTTTTTCCCTCCAGGACTTTGTGTTCTATGCTCCCCGTCTTCGGATTAATAAGAGGATCTTGGCCCTGTGCATGGGGAATCATGAGCTGTACATGCGTCGGCGTAAGCCTGACACCATTGAGGTTCAGCAGATGAAGGCACAGGCACGGGAAGAAAAGCACCAGAAGCAGATGGAGCGGTAGGTGCCGTAGTGCTGGAATTCGTAGTCCCAACTCTACTCTGTGATAAGGAAGTTTCCAGAAGCTTCCTAGACTGCTTAGGGTGTCGCATCAGCCCAGGACCAGGACTTATGAACTGTGGAGGGGAGGAAACCCCATATATTCAATCTCAACATAGACATTTTTGGTTTTTTGTTTGTCTATCTGTTTGTTTTGTTTTTCCTCTGTAGCTTTGGAGCCTGTTCTGGAATTAGCTCTTCCTGTAGACTAGGCTGGCCTCGAACTCACAGAGATCCACCTGCCTCTGCCTCCCGAGTGCTGGGATTAAAGGCGCGCGCCACCACAGCCCATCTTTCTAGTAGTAGGAGATAGATAAAATAAACAAATTGTTTAACATATGCAATCGGGAAAAGTGCATGCCAAGCATTCTGAAAGGTCTGAGAGTGAAGATAGGTACAGCCAAGGTCTAAGGATGCTTCCTAGGGGCTGGAGAGATGGCTCAGCAGTTAAGATTGCTTGCTGCTCTTGCAGGAAATTCAGGTTCAGTTCCCAGCACCCGCATGGTAGCTTTCAACCATCTGTAACTCCACTTACAGGGGATCTGGTACCTTCCAGTTTCTGTGGGCTCTGCATGTATATTGTGTACTTATATGCACATAGGAAAGCACCCACACACACATAAAATAAAAATTCATAAAGTCTTTAAAACAAAAAATAATGCTTCCTTGAATAGGTAGTGAGGCCAGAAAAAGCAAATGCTTATTCTAGATATGCAACAAAATCTGGGAAAAGAGAACCTAAAGCTAAGGTTTAAAGCAGGCAAAGTTGGCCCTAGCTGTAGACTTGAAGCATAAAACCTCAACTCACCATGCTATAAAGCTGTAAGACAGAGTGCAAGCATTAGTAAACCATTGTACGGATGGAAGGGTTGAGAACGAGAGCAAAGCCATCTGATCTAGTTGGTTACTTGCAGTACCAGCATTCCCGTTTAGGTCTCATGAATTCAAGGTAAATGGACTGAGCCTGGAAATCTGTGTGGGGCTACGATGTGATGGCTAGATTATGGAGGAAAGTGAGAGTGGTCCTGAGTCACAAGCTCTGCCTTCCGGAGAGAAGATAGGAGCTAACAGACTCAGACCGCGCAGCTCCTCGAGGCTCCATGCACCTTGCTGTCCTGTAAGCATCCCTCCTTCTCTTTTCTAGTGCCCTGCTGGAAAATGAGAAGAAGAAGCGTGAGCTGGCAGAGAAAGAGAAGGAGAAGATTGAACGGGAGAAGGAAGAGCTGATGGAGAAGCTGAAGCAGATCGAGGAGCAGACCAAGAAGGCTCAGCAAGGTGAGGCTTGGTGTCACTGTGGAGGCCCAGTTTCCCCAGAACCTCACCCTAAGATGTATACCCTTTTCCCTGAGCTGCAGAACAAGACTACGTAGTCCAGCTGTGGCCACAGAGTAGATAAGGAATTTGTCGAGAAAAATTGTTGGAACCACTGGGCCTTGAAGTGCAAAATTCGTAGCAAGCACATTAGTGTGCCATCTTCATCTCTGAGCCCCCTCTATCGATTTCCTCCTTTCCTACCAGAACTGGAAGAACAGACCCGCAGGGCCCTGGAACTTGAGCAGGAACGGAAGCGTGCTCAGAGTGAGGCTGAAAAACTGGCCAGGGAGCGTCAAGAAGCTGAAGAAGCCAAGGAGGCCCTGTTGCAGGCTTCTAAGGACCAGAAGAAGACCCAGGAACAGTTGGTAAAGTGACTTCTTGGGCTGGGGCTGTGTGCAGGCGTTTTGCTTGCTTGCCCCCCTACTGATTTCTAAATTCCTTTGCCTATGTAGCTGAGTCCTTCTAGCTCATTTGTATCCCAAAAGTCTCTAAGCATTCATTCAAAAGTAAGCTGAAGTATCATTAGCATGGCCCACGGTCTTCCATAGCCCTTGGGTTTCATTTATTTTCTTAGATAGAGATCTGATCCTGTAACCTAAGAAAGGAAAAGGAAGAGGGCCTGCCATGAGTTGCTTTAGTCATGTTTCCTCATTCCTTGCTTTCTTCTGTTTCTTTCTTCAGTAGCCCTGTGTTTAATAACCCCATCCAGAATAATGTGACTAGACAAGGAATTAGGGAATCCCGGAGGCTGAGAGACTTGTCAAAGGACACTGCTGTGTGTCATGAAGGATTTCCAACCCTTGCAGTCTCCTTTGGAAAGATTCCCTCCCTGACATCATATATAAAACTTGGGTTCTGTGCCTTGGAAGTTAAGCATCTAGGGCCAAATTTCCTTAAGATAGCCCCACCCTTCTGTAGTATTGATGAGTTAGTATCTCAGGAAAAAGATGTCACGAGAAATTTGCTTGAGGGATATGGGCTTGTATAAACTCTTCCCCATTGCATAAATTGCCTTATGATATTAATATTCATTTATTTGTTCTGGTAGCAGTCTTGGTGGACCCCTGAGATAGCAGGGAAGCATTTGCTACTTGAAATAGTGACTTCCAAGCTTTGTTGGGGGCCACTGCCTATACATTTGGCAACATTAAGAGGGGAAGAGGGGCAGAGATGACCAATTGTCTGCGTTAAGGATGCCTGTAGTCTGGGAGGGAAGCTGTGACTTATGAAGGGGCCAAGAGTGGAGTAATTTGGTTTAAAGAGTCCCTCGGGCAGTAAGAAATGGAGTAGCCAATTGCGTACCAGTTCCACAGAGTTACTGGGGTTACAGGCATCTGTCTGGATCCTGAAAACCCAAAGGTCAAGCCCTTACAGGCTTCTAATATGCCTATAGGCTTCAGAAATGGCAGAGCTGACATCACGGATCTCTCAATTGGAAATGGCCCGAAAGAAGAAGGAGAGCGAGGCTGTGGAGTGGCAGCAAAAGGTAAGATACAGAATCCAGAGCGAAACACTGTGGGAAAGAGCATGCTATGTGTATATTACAGTCCTTGCCTTTCTTAGATTTAGACTCCCCACTTTTTAGACAAACACCATTTTTACAGTCCTTCGTGGGAAAAGGTGTTTAAAGCTTTCTCAAATACTTTAGAATTCCCCAATATCCATAGGAAGTTGATACTATCACTCTTATTTTCAATTAAAAAAAACCCTCAGGATCAAACCAATCAAGTCATTTGTCCTAATTGGTCTCTTACTAGACTTGTCTTCCTAGGTATGATTAGGTTAGCACAAGTTACCTGATCTGATTTTCTGTCACTGGCCAGGCCCAAATGGTACAGGAGGACTTGGAGAAGACCCGTGCTGAGCTGAAGACGGCCATGAGTACCCCTCACGTCGCCGAGCCTGCTGAGAATGACCAGGATGAGCAGGATGAGAATGGGGCAGAGGCCAGTGCTGAGTTGCGGGCTGATGCCATGGCCAAGGACCGCAGTGAAGAGGAGCGTACCACTGAGGCAGAGAAGAATGAGCGTGTGCAGAAGCATCTTAAGGTATCCAGGCCATGCCAAAAGGTCAAGGAGACTGTGTGATGACTTAATAGCTCATGACCTTTGCTAGAGCTAGGGTATACATGCTGTGCTGATGCCCATGCTGAATAGGAGGCTGGGGCACTAGAAACCTGAAGGGAAGACACTTTCTCTTACTAGTCACACCCTAGAATGCCTCATTTAGCTCTCTCCTACTTCCTACTTCTCTCTGTTCAGAAAACACCTCGCTAACCAAATTCCTACTTGAATATTTGGAGTATTATTCTGATTGTTCTCCTCTCAAGAGATAGCCACCATTAATCCATCCTACGCTGTGTGTATGTGGTGCAGGCTCGTGTATGCGAATGCACATGTGGATTAGAAGGGTAGGAAAGAAGAGACAAAATAAGAAAGGAGAGAAATCTGATCGAAGGTGTGGACTTGAAAGGAGAAGCCATTGACCCTTGACTCCTCTTGCATCCTCACAGGCCCTTACTTCAGAGCTGGCCAATGCCCGAGACGAGTCCAAGAAGACAGCCAATGACATGATCCATGCTGAGAACATGCGGCTGGGACGAGACAAATACAAGACCCTGCGCCAGATCCGGCAGGGCAATACCAAACAGCGCATTGATGAGTTTGAGTCCATGTAGTGGGCTTTCAGCCTTTAGGGACCCCTCCTCCTCCTTCCTTGTCCCCACACTCCTATAGTTTTGCCTAACTAACACTGTGCTGGAGCCACTAACTAAAAAAGCCTTGGAGCCATGCCAAGCATTCAGTATAGCCATGGGACCAAATTTAGCCCTTCCGTCTCCTGACTCAGATCCCTGGGCAAAGAAATGGCCCACTGTGGTGCCAATGGAATCTCCTTTTCTGTAACATTCAGCCTAGCTTTCTAGAGTAGGTCCTGTTTCCCCAGCTCAGAGGCTCATTCCTTTTTATTTGACAAACACGCCCCACTTACTGTCTTCCTCTGGGACTCAAGTGTAAAATAGGTTGATAGCTAGCTCCCATCCCTTGACTTTTTCTTCCAAGTCTTGTGATTTGCAAGTTAGAATATTGTGTGTTTTAGGGACAGAAGCACGGCCTTGGCTCTATCTTTTAGCATGTCAGCTGACCAAGGATTTGGCCTCGTCCTGTCCATCCCTTTTAGAGTCATTTAGGCTTTGTAACAATTGGAGGGTAAAGAGATGTTTAGTCATTCTTATTTCTTCTACCTCCCGTGTTGGGCCTATTACAAATTCAGTCCCAATAAGCCTCGTCCCTGTGCTCAGGGACTCAGTTTCTAATCAAGGAGAGATAAAGGGATGACGGAAACAGTGCGTTCAAGAGAGCACACTAACAACCTAGAAAGCCTCTTGCCATTGCGCATCTTTAGAGCCTTTTTTCTATCAAGTAAGGTCTAGGGTAGGGCTACCCCCATGTTAGTCCATGCTCCTGGTTCCATCTGTCCCTGTCCTCTCCAGTCTCCAGATCTCTTCCAGCTAGGCCAGAGAGGACGAGCACCCTCAAACCTAGCCAGTTACATCTAAGGCTGTTGCCACAAAGGGGGACATGGTTATTCCTGGCTTTAGTATTTTCTCTGCCAGGAGTTCTAGACTCCCCCCACCCAGAGCTGATTGGACCACTGTTCCTGCTTCACAGATACGCACCATGACGGGTAAGAGTAGCTCTTGGTTTTCAGTCACCCAGTAGTCCTTCCCCAGCTTACCCAGTCCCGAGTGGAGTGGGTCCTGCTTCTGACAGATCTCTAACCCAGGTCGCATCACTAGCTGTGCTGTCCCTTGGAGCTACATCCAGAAAGCCGCTGGGTGTTCCGGTCTTGTCCCTTCACAGCCCCACACCCTTCTCTCCACTTTGGAGCTGCTGCTTCCTCTTTTTGTCACATTGTGCTCTTCTAATTTTTTACCAGTATTATATATTCTAGGGATAGCTAACTTGATATTGATTTCTACATTTTTTTGCTAATGCACTATTAGAGATACTAGTCTTGGAATGGGATCATTTTAGCTTCATTATTTTTACTACCCCTACCCCATATCTGGGAAATATATACTGTATTAGAAAATATTTTGCCAAAACCAATATGTATGAAGACTTCAGTATTAGTGATTTACCTGTCACTATAGGTCATACAATCCATTTAAAATGTACTTAATATTTGGTTTTATTGTTCCTGTTTGCCTTTTCCCCAGGGTTGAGTCCCTCCATGCAGTATCCCGAGCCCAAAGCCTCTCTCAGCCCATGCCCCCTTACTTAACCTTGGGTAATCTTTTATGCATTGCTGTGAATTATATTGACACTTGGTGAGCTGCCCTATATTGGCTAAATTCAAACCTGGAATTGTGGGGGCAATCTAGCTGCATTAAGGGCAATAACCCACCCCCACAGAGACTGGGGAGGTTAGAATTTATATTCAGGTTTTTTTGTGTATTTTTGTTTTTTAAATAATTGTTTTGGAGGGGTTTGTGCTCAAATCTGTGTTCTATTTCAGTGCCAATAAAATTTAGGAAGACTTCACTGTGACTCCGTCTTTCTTTCTGCATATTTCATTGTAATTTCTAGTCCACAGGCTACCTTTCTGTCTTTTAGCACATTTTACCTTGATTTAAGTTCTAGTGGAAGGAGGAATATAATCATCTTTATTTTAATAGGATGGACTGACTTTAAACACCACCAAAGCAAGAGTAAGCAGATTAAGTCCTGAGGTTACAGGTGTGATGAAGCTGACGGATCTGTTCCTTTTTTGCTGCTTCCCTACATGTTTCGCCAGTATGGGTTGGAGAAACAGGCGATCTGTTGAAGGCTCAAGCACACAACAAGTTGTTTGGTGTGGCTATGGGACCTGCATTAATCACAAGATACTCCTAGTCTTCCTTGGCAGTAGAGTATGGCGCTTTGAGGCCAGGTAACCTAGGCTGGCCTTAACTTCAAGATCCCCTTCCTTTTCTTCCTCTGTGCTGACTGACATTCCAGGAATTTGCCATCAAGTATGGTTAGGCTCCTTATCTCTGGCACACTCCTGGGAGGGTCAGTCCCTGTTCTGCCTCCTTGTCTGGAAGATTTCTGACTCATTTTGCTCCCCACCACCCTTCCTTGACTGCACTGCTAAGGAAAGACAGGGAAACTCCCTTGGGTCTTGTTAGAGAAGGCAGTGGAGGATGTTGACTGAAGTGTGTGGTACTTGGAGTTTATAAAGCATGTAAATTCTGTAGCTTAGAAATGGTTATCTTCGTGTAGATGAAGACATTGAGATCCAGACAACAATGGTCTAGACTTCTTGGACCTGACATTCCTACTTGTTCCCTTCTCGGGATGCAAACATTTGAAAGGAAAGCTAATTTACTCCACCTACGTTCTGAATTCTCACAACAATCCTTTCTCAGCTTGGCTGCTAAATGTAATCCTTCAGAGACCCATTTTTCAAATATTAGAAAACTTGTAGCTTTTGAGGCAAAGTATCAGTTATGTATGGAGTTTGAGGCCAGCCTGGGCTTATTGACACTGTCTCAAAATATAAAATAAATAAACACAAATCCTCAGACCTAAAGGAACCAGGCCCAGTGACACAGATTCGTAATCCTAGCTACTCAGAAGACATGGACTGAAAGATCACACACTCTACGGGGCCGGAGTCCAGAATGAGTTCTAGGCTATCCTCGACTATTAAGAGCTCTTTTTTTAAAAGAAAGAAAGAAAGAAAGAAAGAAAGAAAGAAAGAAAGAAAGAAAGAAAGAAAGAAAGAAAGAAAGAAAAGAAAGAAAGAAAGAGAAAGAAAGAAAGAAAGAAAAAGAAAGAAAGGAAAAAGAAGAGTATTTGAGGAAAGGAATGAATGCAGACAAGGGTGTCGAGGTGCACAGGAGGAGGGGAATGAATGAGAACAAAGTATAGTGATGACTACAAATGCCACAAAGAAATCCATTTCCTTGTATGTTTACCAAAAAGTACTAATAAGGAAAACTAAAAGGGCAAGAAGAGGGCTAAGGATGTATGTAGTTGAGTGGTAGAACGCTTGTCTAGCATTCACAAGGCCGTAGTTCAACCTCTGGGGCTCAAGAAATGAACAATAGAAATTTAAACAACTACATGAGTGTGGTTAGGCGAGGGGTTTTGAGATAGATTAGAGATGATGCTGTAATATCCAGATCATTCTAGCATGATCACAAGACCCCTTAAAAGATGGAGAGGGTGCGCTAAAAGAAGACACCATGTTGCTGGCTTTGAAGGTGGAGCAGAACACAAGGAATTTCAGTGACCTCTACAAACTGTGCCCCCCCCCCACCAAACTAAGACAATACAATGCATTGAGGGTTTTTGTTTGTTTTGATTCATTTGTTTGTTTGAGACAGGCTTTCAAACTGCACATCAGATTATCCTGGAACTGACTATATAGACCAGGCTGGCCTCAAGTTTGTGGCGATTCTGCCCTTACCTCCCACGTCCAACTACTACAGATGGGAGGAATGCTAGTTCTCAGGTTTGCATTTGTGTTAGTCCAAATGACTACTTCACACTGCCTTGTCATTGTAGGAATGACAATATTGCAGAGATAAAGGGTAGATTAGTGCTTTCCAGTAGTTAAGAATCAAGGTACACAAGCTGCCCATGGGGCTACGGCACTGTGAGAACGGTACTGGAGGAGGTCAGCCTTGGTTGTTACACAAGGCGTTTCAGACTTGTTCCTAAACAAACAAGCAAGCAAAGAAAAATTAGCTAAATGAGTGGGAAAAAGGAGCAGGGTAGAAAGTATGCAGAGTGGAGTTTGTGTTGTGTTCTGTATCATAACTGTCTCGGTGTTATTAGCTTGGCAGTAATGGATGGAATGCCACCCCCAGACAGACCTGAGTGAAGCATCTTTGGAGTGAGTGTCTTCATTGTTTCTTCTTTCAAAGATACTTTTTATTCTAGTTTATGTATATAAACACCTTGTCTGCATGCATATTTGTGTGCATGCCTGCTGTCCTTAGAGAGCAGAACTGTGTGGCACATCCCTTGGAGTTGAAGTTACAGACAGGCGTGAGCAGCCATGTAGGCGCTGAGCGCTGAACCTGCATCCCACAAGAACAAGTATTCTAAACCTGATGAGCCTTCCCCAGCCGCTCCTTATTATTTCTTACAACTGCGTATGAGTCTTTGATGTGACTTGGTTTAGAGAATGAGTGGGAAAGTGTGTGTGTGGGGGGGGTAGTGGGAAAGTGAATGAGAGAAAAACCCAACTATGTTATAAAAATATCACAATGAAACTTGTTATTTTGTACACGGTAGGTAAACAGTGACTGCTTGTAAATGCCAAACGACACAGCAATACTATGTAAAATGATGTTTATCTGGAAACATCTCAAGCGAGTTAAGAGAATAGACAATTTCCAGCATATTTGTATGCTACATTACTCAGGAATATAAGTAAATATACTACTGAAACATACATATAAATGCACTCACAGATATTCTGTTGTATAAAACAAGGAAAACATAAAAGACTATATGTAGTATAATTCTTTTTTGATTTAAAAATCAAGCTATATTTTAAAAGTACAGAACATAAAAATTTTATTAGTGGTAGAATCCTGGTAATCCAGGTAAAACCCTGCAGCAATATTAGAGCATGTGGCTCCTTTGCATTTACCGTCAGAAGACAAATCCAGCATGGGTAATAAACACAGAGCAGAAATCCAACATTCAATACAATCCCAACAATGAGTCATTTCATGCAAAAATAGGTCAGAACTCTAAGTCAGCGGGCGCTCTCTTGCTGTGTCTAATTAAAATTTTTGAAGCAGGAAGTGTAGTTAATGCTTGAAGTTTTAATTTCAACAAGAAATTCTGAAAATGCCTCAGCATCCCCAAGTGAAGGAAGGGAGCCAAGCTCATTGTCTACCTTCTAAGAGAAGCGGAGCTTGTTCCAGGCAGAGAGCAAGCTCGCTGTGCCTAAGAGGAAATGCTGGTATCTGTCCTTAGAAAGTGCCATCTGGAAGATAGGAAAGTGGGAGCCATGATGTCATTCCTCCATCTGTCCTCATGCCCATAAGCATACTTTAATCAACTGTCAATGACTTGATACTCATATTTTTTAATGGTAAGTGGGGGTGTAGCAGTAACAGAAAGAAATGTCACTGATAGACTTCTGAAATGGCAGCATGAGATTCCACTGAGTTTCAGAAAGAAATGACCGCACATAGACAAAAATGGGGGTGGGGAGAATTCCACATCTGCTCCCCATCAGCACACAGCCAAAGCACAGGACACCAGAGAGGCCGGGCTAGCTGACATGCCCGAGAATTTAAAAAGTCTTGCATCTGGGTGCCTGGCTTGACCAAAACAATTCTCTGAGAAACTTGAAATATCCATCGCCTGAAGGTCCAGAAAATCCATATCCCTGGGAAAACTTAAATCATTTCAAGAGGAAGCCTGATTTTAATGACCCCTGTTTCTCTAAGACATAGTCCTGTGCAAATCCTCCATTTCCCGGTCATGCACGCTGTCTTGAGTAGGATTAACAGAAATATCTGTCATCTTCACAGCCTGAAGGCACTGCTCAGGCATGCAGGCTTAAGCTGTGTCCATCACTACTCCGTCCTTCTCCGGGGGTCCTTCCTACTTCTGTTTTGGGAACACTTAGCCATGTGCCCCACAGTGCCCTGTATCCTTGGCTACCAAATACAGCAGGCCACCCACTAGCCCTCAGCCCTCACGATTGTTTCACCAGCACTTAAAGAATCTGAATGCTGGCAACCCCACGGCCTGCTAACGAGAGAGAAAGTGACTCCCCAGTCGCTGCCATTCTGTTAGAATTCTGATTATATGGTGTTCGAGAGCAGGTGTGGTTCCGTGGAGCTAGACTGGAGAAGATGACTGGATGTTGAATGCAAAGAAATCTTTTTAAAGAAGGGGTCTTTCGCCATGGTGGATTCTTCAGCTCAGGCGGGAAGAAGGGGTCTAACACTTCTGTTGGCAGTGACTAGAAAGATAAAGGTGTTATACTCTATTATCCTTGCTATATCCCTCCAGAAGAGTGTAGGTTCAGGGGCCTGGTTCCTGATTTTGAACCTTAGTTCTGCTTGCCTAATCCTCTGCAAGTGATAAAAGTTCTTGCTGTACTGGGCTTTGTATCTACAAAGAAAAGATATCTGTATGCTTCAGAGATTTGTGGACTTTTAAATAAATTGTTACATGTGAGGACAAAAAGATGTCTTTCACTGAAAAAGTTGGAAATTACTATCTTATTTCTCAGAGTGTATCGTAATCATTTGGTGCACTTATAATAGATTGCTGGGTGTGGAATATCCCATGGTAAGTGTAGTGCACATCCCAGAAAACTCAGGAGGCTGAGGCAGAAAGGTTATAGGTGCAAGGTCTACTTGGACTATAAAGCAAAACACTGTTGGAAAGTCACTGTTCTGGAGTCTAGAGTAGACCAAAACTTGCATGGGTGGAGATCTAGAGAGAAGGGACTTATCTATGTTCACAAAGCTGCCAGCCAGAGATCCACTTAGAACTTGTTTCATGACTATATTGTCTGG